CTGACTGAAGTCAGGACCTCAGCATGTGGCCTCAGTGACACAGGGTCCCGGCGATGCCATCGGCTCAGGATGGGATGAGGTGCTTCTGGACAGAGGCTGGGCCCAGGTTCAGAGTGGAGACAGGAGGGGTCTGCAGGTGAGCCACCAGCAGCCGAGGACACCCAGAGCCACCAGGAGCTGGAGGAGGGATGCGGCCCTCAGGCACCTGGGCTCAGACTTCTGCCCCCAGAGCTGGGAGGGAACGTCTCTGTCGCTGGAAGCCCCGTGTGCTACTGTGTGGCGGCCTCGGGGACCTAGGCTGCTGCCCGGGCTCCGTGCGCCCCGGGCTCCGTGCCCTCTCCTGGGGAGGTCCCTCGCAGGCTGGCCCTGCGCTGACTCAGCCTCGAAACCCACACCCGGGGACAGTCAAGGGGTTTTGTTTGACTGGTTTTGTTCTTTAATGTTCTCTGAAGAAGGAGCTTTGCAGTTTGAGGTCATGGTCACTTGAGCAGCACCAGCCATCCTCCTCTCCTGGAGGACATGACGCTGGGCACTGTCCAATCTCCTCTTCTGATCACCGCCTGCCTCTCTCAGCCTCTGTGCCACCACCTGCCCCTGGAGCACCCGAGGGAACCGCGTCTGCCCCCCATCACCACCGCCTCGGGGTCCCAATCCTGGGGACAAGGGCTTCCTGAAGGCTGCTGCCCTAGAGCTAATGTGCTCCTGGGAGGGACAAGCCATCCACCCTCAGGACCCAGCTGTGTCCCCAGCACCCTGACCCGCAGGGCTCGTCCCCCAAAGCAGGCGATTGCCGGCCTCCTCCAGGCCCTGCAGGGAGCGCAGAGGCCACGCCCGCTGCCGCTCGCTTTCCGGCCGGTGCTGTGGAGCGACTCTTCCTCATACAGGTGTGGTCCCTGCTGACTATCTATTCGCTTGAGAAGCAGGTGGCGGAGGAAATAAGGAGGTGACGGAAACCCTCGAGTTGCCCCAGGAGAACACCCTGCGGCCAGGCTCTCAGTGGCCAGCCTCAGGAGGAACTGGACACCCGGGAGCTTTTGCTAGGGATTCTGAGGGCTGGGTCAGGTGGCCGGAGCCCTTGTGGGGCCTGCAAATTAAGGACAGTGGTCATGGCCTTTTACATTGGTGGGGACCTCAGAGACTCCTGGTCCCAACCCCCAGTGTTCCACATCTGTGTGGGCAGCCCAGGCCCCTGGGGCAGTGGGAACAGGACCAGCCCAGGTCCTCCGTGCCATGGGAGAGGGGCAGACCAGGGCCGGGGAGGTGGGCACAAGCTGGTGGCTGCTCTCACCTTGGCTCTGTGTTGGAGGCTGGCTCTGCCTCGGGCCTCTGGATGCCAGCACTTGGCTCCAACCCATCCCGTCACCTTCTCCCTGGTGGCACCTGCTGAGCAGCATCACCATCCTCCAGGTCCCCAGGTCCCTCCCTCTCCCCCCCCAGCCTAGCCCAGCACCTTGTCCAGCAAGTCATACCAACCGGGCAGGGCACCTCCTGAGCGCATGCACACTGCTCTGCGGGGTTCTGTAGCCTGTCCTGACACGTTTGCACAACACCAAGGGTGCGGCCCGGCATGCGGTGTGGCCCGTGTGGATCACAAGCCATGCGGGTCCTCTGTCGTGGGCAGTGGGCGGCAGGGAGGCTGAGGGTGTGGAGCTGGGGCAGCGGCGTTTCATTAACTGTGTAAATCAGCATATTACCATGGCAATACATAATCCATGTAACAACCATAGTGAACGTTCTTCTTTTAATACCAAGTCTTGAAATCAGTGCGTACCTGGCCGCGTGCTCCAATCTGGATAAACTCCATGTTCTGAGAGCTGGGGATGCCACGGGGCCAGTGGTGCTGTACTGTGGACCAGCCCTCTTGGTGGCCCTGGGGACGACTCCGGCCCCTCCCCTGCCCAGCCCTTCAGCCTCAGGACCTGCCATCCCTCTTAGTGTCCCCCAGCCCTGGGCTGCCACACGTGGCTGACAGCTCCCGCACTTTCCTCACTCCCAGGAGGAAGCCCTCCCCTCCCAGAGGCCTCCACATCCCATTCCTGGACCTGTGACATGTTCCCTTTCATAGAAAGCAATGGGGACTCTGCAGATGGAATTAGCACGGTGAGGAGGGGAGAGGATCCCAGACCATTCACGTGCACCCTGTGCGATCACAGGAGGGACCAGGGAGAGTCTGAATGTGGAAGTGGGCGATATGTAGTCGAGCAGGGAGGGAGAAGCAGGCTCTGAGGACAGAGGCAGGGACCTGGAGCTGAGGGTCACAGGAGGCCTCTGAGGGTAGAAAGTCTTCCCCTGGATCTTCTAGTATGTGCCAGTGCCTCGTTAGACCTCCATGGGACCTGTTTCAGACTGGTGACCTCCAGAACGGCACGTCGATAGATCCACCTTGTCCCGAGTCGCTCCAGCGGCCACAGGACTGTCTCAGGCCTCTCCTGGTGGAACTGGCCTGCAGGGTGCACTCCTGCCCAGGAGGGGGACAGGCGGGGTGGAAGTGGAGGCGCCCGTGAGGGGTCAGGGAGATCAGGATGGATCAGGTGTGGGTTCTGCTGGGGGCTGAGGACAGCCTGGGCCTCCAGAGTTGCACGTGCCCTAGCATCTCCTGGCCTTCTGGACGTCAGCACCACGGCTCACTGTGGCGCACTGAGGCTGTCCCCTCCCACCTCTGCCTCTGTCTGTGTCTCTGGAATGCTGCGTTCATCCCTGCGGCTGCCATGACACAGTGCCACAAACCTGTGGCTTCAACAGCTGGGATTTTTTCAAGGTGCTGAGTCAGCAGCCTGAGGCGGGGTGGGGGGGGTCGTGGGCTGGCTCCTTCTGGTGGGCTTCGCCCTTGCATCTCTGTTGGTCTTGGTTTCCTTCCTCTATGGCACTGGTCACGTTGGACTGAGGGCCCATTCTGGCCCACTCTGGCCACCTCTGAACCTGATTGCTTCCTCCAAGGCCCTGTCTTCAATGCGGGCACGTTGACATGTTCCAGGTGGGTGACCCAGGACATGTGCCCGTCCCCAGCCACGCACAGCCTCTCCCTTCCTCCTCAGGCCTCTGCCCTCAGGTCGCCTTATCCAAAGTCAGCTCAATGCCACTCTGTCTCTGAGACAGGACCCGCAGCCCCACCCAGCCGGCCCCCACCCCTTTCCAGGCCTAGAGCACCCAGGCTGCTGTGTTCTGCCGCTCCATTTGGCATCTGCCCACCCCCCTCTGCCCCACCAGGAGGGAGGTTCCAGGGCAGCGGGGCCTGTGACTCTGGCTCCCTGCCGCTGGCCACCTGAGCTGAGCGGGGAGGTGCCCTGGAGCAGCAGCTGTGAGCAGACTTCTCTGGCCCTCCTGGGCATGGGGAGGCAGGCTGGATCCTGGGCAGCCAGATCTGGGCTGAGGTGGTGGTCCTGGTGGGGGGCTGGGCAGAATCAATAGGCTGGTCTGGGAAAGCTGGGAGCGGGAGGGGCCTGCGCCCAGAGGAGGCTCGGCTGCATGGAGCTCATAAACACAGCTATTTGTTTCTGCAGGGGCTCTGGAATTTCCTGGGTCTCTGGATCGATCTTCTGCTAATGGGCCTCTTGCTCCCTCTTTTCAAAGGAAATCAATTCTCTGAGGTTTTGAGAGTAGATGCTCCCAGCTACACCTCCATGGGTGGGTGTGTCTTTGTTCTCTGCAGCCAGGTCATCACTGGGGAGGGCAGGACCAGCCAGAGGCCAGATGGGCATCCAGACCCCGAGTGACCTGAGGAATTTCCCCTACTGGGAAACCCTGGGAGCCAGAAGGCTGGGGTAGAGTGGGGGCTCCTCAACCCTGTGACCCCGAGGCCTATGAAAGATACAACCTCTGGGACATGTGGCTACCGGGTCACCAAGCCCAGAGGGAATAAACAGGGCCCATCTTCCTGGACCCTGGGTTTCACTTGAGGAGGGAGGGAAGGTGTCCATGCAGACACGCCAAGAGTCATTGTGGGAAGGAAGTTGAACATCTGCGGGGGTGGGGGGTTCATGCCAAAGTGGCTGCAGGCTCCTGGGAGACCCAGGGACAGGAGGGGAGATGCTGGCCTTCTGCAGCTGCGGGTGCCCAGAGGCACTGCTGGCAGTGAGGTAGCCAGGGTGGAGTCGGCCCCGGCAGGCTGGGGTCTGAGGCAGGAGCTCTGATGGAGCTGGAGCCCACCCAAGCCGCCATGCCCAGCCCACCCAACCCACATGCCCAGCACGTTGTGCGATTCCAGCCTACTTTCAAGGGTGATCATGAGAGGCCCTGGTTTCAGAGCCTCTGGGACCTTGAGCTTCAACAGTACTGATTGCATGAGTTTCATTTGGTGGCTCCTGAACAACATCGGAGCTGGTCTTGGTGGCTTCTGTGGGACATTCCTCCTGCTCCGTCCACACCATAGCTGAGGAGGGCAGCCCTGGGGTGGGAGGGCTTGCCCCTGGCAGGAGACTCCCAGGCTTTGCTGTGCCACCAGCCGCAGTGCAGAGCTGCCCTGGGCTCCAGGTGAGGTGGGGACGGAGGGGGCTCCTGCAGGAGCTCAGGGTCCCAAGAGGGAAACAGATGGGCAGGGGGCCACAGTGGAGCCTCGGACAGTGGCAGACGGTCCCTGCAGCAAGCAGAACCCCGGCCGGCATCAGGTGGGTTTGTGTCTGACTCTGTCAGGCAGAGAATGTCCCCTCTTGGACTCCTTTGGTCATCTGTGAGATGGACATGCTGACATCGTCTGTCAGGGTTCTGCAAAGCCTCGAAGAGGTAGAAGACCCACAAGGGCCAGAGCATCTCAGGCACCCCCAGGAGGAGGAGGCAGCCTGGGCTTTGGGATTTCTAACCCTAGCTCCAGACCTGGGATTCATATGAGCAAGTCTTCTGTCCCGAGGGAACCCAGTGGGGGACACCCTGCTCCTGCAAGGGTCGGGAGGGTGGCACTGTGTCTTCCCACCTGAGCTGGCACGCGGCTGGAGCTGGATATGCTATGGGTTGATAAAGGCCACACCTGGAGGGTAGGTGCTGACGGCTGTCCCCTGTCCCCCCAGGTCTTCGGATTTCGGGACGTCCTACACCAAGCTCACCCTCCAGCCTGGCGTTACCACCGTCATTGACAACTTCTACATTTGCCCCACCAACAAGAGAAAGGTACGTGCTGGCCCTGTGGCCGAAGCCCAGGAGGCCCGTGCCACTGGTGTCTCCTGCCTCTGGACAGGGGAGAATGAGAGCTGTCTGCCCCCTGGCCCTCGCTGGTCGCCCTTCCCAGTTCCGCCTTCATCCCTTGCCAAGAATATCCAGCCACCGGCCAGACTGCAGGAGGACTGTCTGGGCACATTGACCTTCCCCCCGCCCTGCAGGCGCACCCAGGAGGCACTGGGGAGGCTGGTAGCTGAGGTCGGCTGCTTGGCAGGGCGTCCTGGAGGCGTGTTGGTGGCTCTGAAGGGTTGCTGTGAGTCCAGGGCCCAGGTGGTCTCATCTCGGTTTTAAGCGCTGTTTGGTTGGTGAGCTTCCTGGCTCTGCTCTCTGGCTGGTGGCAGAGGGGAACGCTTGTCATTCAGAGGTCATCTACTCGCCGGCTTCCATGAGGAGAGCCTCTGCAAACATGTGGCTGCGTCTTGGCCCACTGGGGATCGGGGGAGCCCCCGGCACCCGCATGCTGACTCCACCCAAAGCAGCGGCTCGAGGTTCTGGGAGGGGCCTGGGACAGAGCAGCGTTCGAGTCCCAGCTCACCTTTCTGTGCCTCAGTTTCCTCATCAGGAAATGGGGTGCAACCCACCACCTGCCCAGAGAATCTAGGACCAGACACCTGGAGCCCCACAAGTGCTCAGCATCAGGCCTGCGCCTGGGCTCCCACGGCTGCTCGAGGGGGCTCAGGGCCTGTCCCAACGAGGAAGGGGTCTTGTGGACTGGCTGGTGGTGCCACCAAGGGCACCATGTGTTCTGTGGGCCTCATGGAGGCAGACACAGGGGGCTCAGAGGAATGGGCGGGTTCTGTAGAGGCCGAAGGCCCCAGGTGAGGGCGGTTAACGGAGGTCAGAGAGCAGCAGAGGTGGCTGCGGGCTCCAGGTGGTGGCAGTGCGGTTCTACAGGACACACCCTGCTCTCTGGAGAGCCCTCTTGCCTGAGCTCTCTCTCTGCCTGCGCTGCCATGAAGCTTCCTGACAGGGAGCAGGGATGTGGGGCGGAGGGCGCTGCAGGGCTCGGGGCCTTGCCCTGGGTGCCTCTCTGGGGTGTTAGTGGCCCTGGCCCCTTCCTGGACACCGGGGGCTTCATACTCCACCCACAAGGACCCGAGGAAGCAGGTGTTACCATCCCATTTTCCAGGGCAGTGAGTTGAGGTGGGGAGGTGGGTCTCGCGCAGTCACAGGGTCGGGAGGCCCCTCACCTCAGCCTCTGAGTCTGCCCCTCAGGGGGGCTCTTCCAGGCCCAGAGTGGCCCCGAGGCCTCTGCCTGCAGGAGAGCTGAGCACCTGGAAGGGGCAGGGTCCATTCTCTGCTGTCAAACTGGGGCTGCTGCGATCTGAGTGGGAGGCCAAGGAAGGCCTTTGGGGGCTCGTGCTGCGTACCCCCAGACTCCAGCTGGCAGTGGGCCACGTCCCCATCCTGGGAGCTCCCTGCAGTCCTTGTCTGTTCAGCCACCCTGGTCCTGGTGACCTTTGCTGGGGCTGCTGTCCTGTCCACACACATCCCCACAAGAGGAGACTGGCCATCTGATCACCAGCCGGGATGGTCCACGGGTGCCTGGGAAGGGACGGTGGCTCAGGACCAGTCGCACAGGCTGTGCTATGTTTGGAAATGAGGAGGGCAGAGACGATGGTGGCAGTGAGGGAACCAAGACAATCTCTGAGCCGGAGGTTAGAGAAGGGCTCACGGGGAGGCTGGCTGGGGCCAGCGAGGTAACAGACCTGCTCCTGCGTGGAGCAGCCTGGGGACACGGCTGGTTCCCTGACCCGTAAGGTAGGTGGCCAGAAAGTTAATGGGACGGTGCTCACGGTGAGCAGGGCTGATGGGCCACCGTCGGCCTGGGGGCAGGGCTCCCTGGAGGACTGGCTCCTTCTGCAGGTGACTTGGGGGCAGGGAAATGGCCACAGGATGCATTTTTTAAAGCAAACAAGACCTCCTGGCCAGCAGTGCCTGAGAGGTCACTGGACACTCCTCAGAGCCAGGGTGACTGGACTTTTCTCCTGGCGACTTTGCTGGGGGTGGAAGGCTGCATCTGATGAGGCCCTGTGTCCAGCAGGGGGCGCAGCCAGCGCTGGAGGGGTGCAGTGCATGTGTCCACACTGTATATGCTACCCGCCCGTTAGTCCCTTGGTGGTTGCCTCAGTTATCAGATTGCCTGTCATGGTGCTGCAGTGCTGGTGTCCAAATGACCCTTATTTTATTAATTATGGCCCCAAAGCACAGGATGCTGGCAGCTCAGCTTTGCCCAGTAGAAGCTGTAGAGTGCTTCCTTTACAGCTGAATGGTTACCATAGAGTTGTACATATGGAAAAAACAGTTTGCATAGGGCTTGGTACTTCTGAGGTCTCAGGCATCCACTGAGGGTCTTGGAAAATAACTCCACGGATAATGGGAGGACTCCATCTGCTTGGTGCTGTGAGGCTGTGCTCCCAGAGTTCTGCCTGCAACTGGGGCTTGCAGGGGTGGGAGTGGGGGGTTTTAAATGCATGTAGAGGCAGAAAAACCACAGTCACATCACGGGGAAAATGAATTTGAAACCATTAAGGTAGAGGAAGACACGGGGGACTGGGCCAGGCAAACATCCAAAGGTGGGGTGCAGCCTGTGGGCAGCTCAGTGGAGACTCCGCAGCTCAGTGGTGCCCATTCCCCAGGATTCACCAGAGCTCAGGGACGCGGGGCAGTGGAGGGCAGAGGACAGCAGAGGCCCTTCCTGCAGGAGTTTCAGTGTAACATAAACTAAAACGCCCTTCATCACTGCACTGGTCGATGGACTCACTCGCGGTCTCCTGATTCCTTCAGCCACCCCCTGGTGACCGTTCCTAGTGTGCCAGGTCTGGGCCACAGTGGTGGGGTGTGACTCAGGGTTGCCTGGACGAGGACGCTCAGGAAGCTGGGACATTGCCCCTGATCACCCAACTGGCAGGTAGAGAAAGGCATTTATTGACGCACTGTGATTGGTCTAGAGTAAGGATTTGAACCCAGGTCTGCCAGACCTGGGCACCCTTGGCACACTCTGGGATCACTGGGCTTCCCAGCAGCCAAGTTACAGGCAGCCAGTGGGGCGTCCTCCGTCCATGTGAGCCACCCAGCCCGGCCAGGGTACGGGGTTGGAAACTGGCATCCACTGAGAGTGACCTGACCACATGCCAGGTCAGCCTGTGGCCTGCAGAGCTGTGCCAGCTGTGCCGCTCGAGTCTGCTCTGGCCTCAGTTTCCCCGTCGGAGCTGACGGTTCTCCAAGCTCCTCCCAGCTCCAACATCTGGGCGCCTGTGGGCAGAGCAGCCGCTGGGAATCTGACTGTTCTGACCCCACCTCGATCACCTCCTCTGCAGAAGGCGAGCGGGGTCTTCAATCTCCCTCTCCGCACTGCCCCCACCCCCTTGGCAGACGCGGTAGAGGGCCTGGCGCATGCTGGACTGCAGCAGGGTCCAGTTTGTAGCCCACAGGGGCAGGCTGAGGACTGACTGGAAATAGGGGTAAGCTGGGTGGACAGTATGACCTTCTGGAAAGCGTGAAGGTCAGGGGCCCAGACCCATCTGATAGAACCTCTACTGAGTGGGGAGAATAAGAAAAGGGGCCAAAGGTAATCCCCCCCCTGCCAGAAGGGCCGTTCCCTGCAGGGCGCCTGCCTGGGCCTGTGCCATCCGCGTCCACCTCCCGTGTTGTTGGGTAACGATGGATCTGCAGGCAAATGCGAGGACTATTAGGAGTCCATTTAGCAGCAATTACAGGCAGAGCCTCACTTTACAGCTTCTTAGGAGACCACTTTGCAACCTGTCTTAGGAAATGAATTCCCTTTTATTTCAGTCTTACCTGCAGTCTCGTCCAAGCTCTTGGCCTTGGCGTCCCAGCCAGGGCCTGTGCTGTTGTCACGGAGTGACCCAGGACCCCGGGGGCCTGGCCATCCCCTCCCACAGTGCTAGCAGTTGGTGCGTCAGCCCTGGGCTGAGAGCGCGATTCCACTGCAGCCCCAGGGCAGCCACCAAGGCACAGGGGGGTGAGGGCACTGCCTGGGATGGAGCTGCTGCCAAGTGTCACGTACCCTGAGGGAAAGGCACAGGCCAGGAGCTGCCCGCGAGCCCCTGCTGTCCCACATTCAGACGGCGTGGTGTCCCCTGCTCCGCGGGCCCCTCCTCTGTTCCTCAGCCTGCGCCAGGTCTGCCTGTGCCGCAGGCTTCACTGTGGGGAACAGGCGCCTGGCCTCCCTGGCCTCCGGGGCTCTTTTGTGTCCACCTGTTAGGACGGCTCCGCCTGCCGCCTCTGTTTAGGGGATCACTTCCCTTCCCCTCCTGCGCTCTCCCTTCTCCCCTTGGACCTGCCCTGTCCTGCGAATTGGCCAACTGTTCTCCAGCAACCGCGTCTCCCTGGTCGGTGGCCCCACCCTTCTCTGGTGGGGGGGCTCCTGTCCCAGAAAACAGCTGACCTCTTGACCCCACAGGCTTCCTTTTCTTCCTCGCCAACAGCCAGAGCAGCCCAGGCTCTGTGGTCCCTGCGGCCCCAGGCCCTCTGCTCTGACTCGGAGGGCACCCAGAGCAGCCCAGGTCCAGGTCCAGGCTGGAGCTGCAGCCTGGGGTCACCCCAACCCTGAGTGAGGCCTTGAGAGCCCAGGACCTCTCCAGGGAGCCTGTGGGAGCGTCCTCAGCAGTGGCTGGTCTTGATTCTCCTCGGCGGCCTCAGTGCACATGTGGCCAGAAGGTCCTGCTGTGAGATCCTTCTTCCCAAGCGTTCGATTGGCATTTCCCTGTCCAGAGCCCAGCCACCAGGAAGGCCTGAGGGACGGGGGAGAACAGCCAAGGGGGGCTCTGAGCCTGAGTCCTGGGTGTGGAATGGGATTCACTCCATTGCCCATGTCAGGTTGTGCTGGGGATCAGAGGGGACAACGTGTGATCTAGTGCAGCGTCTGGCCCTGGTGGCTAGACCAAGTGCCGACGGGAGCCAGGAAACCCACCATGAGGAACTCTAAG